TGAAACCCCGTCTCTACTAAAAATACAAAAAATTAGCTGGGCATGGTGGCGCGTGCCTGTAGTCCCGGCTGAGGCAGGAGAATTGCCTGAACCCGGGAGGCGGAGGTTGCGGTGAGCCAAGATCGTGCCATTGCACTCCAGCCTGGGTAACAAGAGCGAAACTCCGTCTCAAAAAAAAAAAAAAAAAAAGGCCAGGCGCGGTGGTTCACGCCTGTAATCCCAGCACTTTGGGAGGCCAAGGCCGGTGGATCACAAGGTCAAAAGATTGAGACCATCCTGGCCAACATGGTAAAACCTGGTCTCTACTAAAAATTAGCTGGGCGTGGTGGCACGCACCTGTAGTCCCAGCTACTCAGGAGGCTGAGGCAGGAGAATTGCTTGAACCGGGGGAGCTAGAGATTACAGTGAGCGGAGATCATGCCACTGCACTCTTGCCTGTCCCCTGGCGACAGAACAAGCCTCTGCCTTAAAACAAACAAACAAACAAAAAACAACAATTGTCTCTTATTTCCATGATGTTGCTTCTGCACTCCTCCTACCTTGGACAGTGCCTGATACCGGCAAGGTGCTTAACAATAATAATGTCTACCATCGCTGCCTATTTTTTGAGACAGGCACAGCTTTAAGAGTCTTACATCTATCATGTATGATCCTTACAATATCTGTTTTACAGATGGGGAAATTAAGGCATATAGAAGTCAGCTAATATGCCCATGATCCCAAGGGAAGTGAACCTGGATTCAAATCCAGTTGGCCTCCAGAGATCATGCATTAACCATTAAGTTCTACTTAATGGTCCAATAAATGGTATAGGTTTGAATAATTGAGTCAATCTGGCAGGGCACAGTGACTCATGCCTGTAATCCCAGCACTTTTAGTAGGAGGCCAAGGCAGGCGAATCACCTGAGGTTGGGAGTTCGAAACCAGCCTGACCAACATGGAGAAACCACATCTCTACTAAAAATACAAAATTAACTGGGCATGGTGGCACATGCCCGTAATCCCAGCTACTCAGGAGGCTGAGGCAGGAGAATCACTTGAATCTGGGAGGTGGAGGTTGTGGTGAGCTGAGATCACACCATTGCACTCCAGCCTAGGCAACAAGAGCGAAACTCCATCTCAAAAAATAGTAATGATAAAATTAAAAAGGAAAGAAAACAAGTCAATCCCATCAAATGGGATAAAGGCAGAAAAGCATCCATATAATTTTGCAATGAAGACATCAATAGTGATGTAAGCAAAACCCCTTTCACTAGATACAGGCAAAAACCAAATGAGAAGGACAAAAGAGAGGGAAGAGGGCATTCTTAGCAGCTACCACTTAGAACATGCCACTCCCAGGCACCGTGCCACGTGCCTCACATAACATCATAGTTTTTAATCCTTGCAATACTGCCAGATAGACACTACTATTCCCATTTCACAGATAAGAAAACAGAATCAAATGAGGTAAACTAATTTGTACTAGGTCACACTGCAAATAAATGTCAGAAATGGATTCTGACTTAATTCATCTAACCCCAAAAGCCATGTCATAATCACAATGGCAAGGCTGATAAGATGGTTTCAAGTCAAATACCAAACTGGAGGGGGAAAAAACCAATCTCACATGCCATAGATATAGAAAGCGTATTTTAGTCACTGACTTTAACAAAGGCACACTTAAGAGACCAACTTTTTTGAAGCTTAAAATCTTTATTGTCCTTTGATTTTGAGATCTAGTTTTAGTTTTTGGAAACTAGAATTACTTTATGATCCAGCAATCCCACTGCTGAATATTTACCCCTCAAAACTGAAATCAGATTGTCAAAGAAAGGTCTGTAGTTCACTGCAGCACTATTTGCAATACCCAAGTTATGGAATCAAGCTAAGTGGCCATTAACACATGAAGAGATCAACAGAATGTGGTAAATATACACAATAGAATACTATTCACCCTTAAACAAGAAAAATTCTGTCATTTGCAACAACATGGACAGAAGCGATGAATGTTATACTAGAGAAATAAGCCAGGCACAGAAGCACAATATAGGATTCCACTTACATGTGGAATCTAAAAGACAATGGAACTCTGCAGCAGAGAGCAGAACCATGGTTACAGAAGCGGGGAGCAGGGCACAGGGAGATGATGGTCAAAGGGTACAAAGTCTGTTAGACAAAAGGAACATATTTTTTCTTTTTTGCATTTTATTGCACGGTGTGGTGAATATAGTTAAACAGTTATTTTTTGGTGGCTCACATCTTTAATCCCAGCATTCTGAGAGGCCGAGACAGGAGGATCACTGAGCCCAAGAGTTCGAGAGAAGCCTGAGCAACAAAAAAATCAAAATGCCAGGTGTGATGGTGCACACCTGTGCTCCCAGCTACTCAGGAGACTGAGGCAGGAGTATAACTTGAGCCCAAGAGGTCGAAGGTGCAGTGAGCTGTAATCACCCACTGCACTCCAGCCAGGACAACAGAGCAGGACTCTGTCTTGTAATAATATATATTTTTTTTTAATTAAAAAATAAGGCCTTGTATGGTGGCTCATGCCTGTAATCCCAGCACTTTGGGAGGTCGAGGTGGGTGGATCACCTGAGCTCAGGAGTTCAAGACCAGCCTGACCAAAGTGGTGAAACCCCCGTCTCTACTAAAAATTCAAATATTAGCTGGGCATGGTGGTGGGTGCTTGTTATCCCAGCTACTCAAGAGGCTGAGGCTGGAGAAACACTTGAACCTGGGAGGGGTGGCTGCAGTAAATTGGGATTGTGCCACTGTACTACAGCCCAGGTGACAGAGAGGACTCCATCTCCAAAAATCAATAAATAAAATAAAATAAAGGCTAAGGCTGAGGCCAGTGAGGTCCTCAGATTAGTCATAAAATCTAGAGCAATTACATGCAATCCTGTTTGAATAGCTTCAAAGGTTCTTCAGTATTGGGCAAGGGAAACACACCATCTCTGTGACATGGAACAGATGTCACTAAAAGCCCTCTGGAGGGGACTGAAGGGCTTGCCATTTATCCTTTGGCTGTAGCCAGAGCTGCAGAGACCAGACTAGAGCTGTGCTCCTGCAAACTAAATACAGGCACTGAAACAACTCGCAGACATCAAATTTAATTTCCTGATTGTCAATACCAGACAGGAATGACAATCAGCATCTTTTTCACTGTCCCTAATAAAGTAAGTTAGGCACTGTTTTATGCCACCGGCTTTCTACAGAACAAGACAAACCCATTAAATGAAAACGATTCTTTAGAAACCAAAGGCTGGGCCTAGTGGCTCATGCCTGTAATCCCAGCACTTTGGGAGGCGAAGGTGGGTGGATCACTTGATGCCAAGAGTTTGGGACCAGCCTGGCCAACATGGTGAAGCCCCATATTCAATAAAAATATAAAAATTACCCAGGCATAATTACCCGGGCACGCACCTGTAGTCCCAGCTATTCAGGAGGCTGAGGAATTGCTTGAACCCAGGATGCGGAGGTTGCTGATTGTGCCACTGTACTCCAGCCTAAGCAACAGAGGAAGACTCCAACTCAAAACAAAAACAAAAACAAAACAAAAATCTACCAAAAGGTGGACTGGATAGCTTATGCTTTTCTTTCTTAGAAAAACATTTAACCCTTCCCAGCTGCCTAGGCCAGTACTTCTAGTCGCTGATTGCGCAGATACCTAGCCTGGGTGTTTGTCCACCAACTGGCCCTAGTTTTTTCATTTTCCAGCTAATTCTAAGTAGCCCAAATCCTCCCAATCTTTTTAGATCCACCTCAAACATCATTTCCTTTATGAGTTTCAGGCCGAGTGAAGTGGCACACACGAGAAAAACCCAGCACTTTGGGAGGCCAGGGCGGATGGTCACCTGAATTTGAGACCAGCCTGGCCAACATAGTGAAACCCCACCTCTACCAAAAATAGAAAAAATTAGCCTGGTGTGATGGCGGGTGCCTGTAATCCTGGCTATTCAGGAGGATGAGGCAGGGTAATTACTTAAACCTGAGATGCAGAGGTTGCAGTGAGCCAAGATTGCGCCACTGCACTCCGGCTTGGGCGACAGAGCAAGACTCCTCCAAAAATAAAAATAAAAAAAAGAAAAAATGTTTAATAGTAACCATAACAAAATTCCTAACAGCTGGTATACCACTATGGCAACTCCATCCCGGCACATCTTCCAGCCTATTGCTTCCTCTAAGAATGTTCCTTGCAGGCAGAAACTATTAATATATTTGCACTTAGGCCGGGCACACTGGTTCATGCCTGTAATCCCAGCACTTTGGGAGGCCGAGGTGGATGGATCACCTGAGTCAGGAGTTTGAGACCAGCCTGGCCAACACGGTGAAACACCATTTTTACTGAAAATATAAAAATTGGCTGGGCGTGGTGGCTCAAGCCTGTAATCCCAGCTACTAGGGGGGCTGAGGCCGGAGAATCGCTTGAACCCGGGAGGTGGAGGTTGCAGTGAGCAGAGATCCCGCCACTGCATCCCAGTCTGGGAGAGAAGAGTGAGACTCCGCCTCAAAAAAAAAAAAAAAATATATATATATATATATATATGTATATATATATATGTATTTGCAACTAGCTCTACAGCTGCAGCTAGAGCCTAAATGGAGTCGGTGCCAGTCAACCAGTGTTTGGTGATTTCAGTACTGAAATTCCGGTGCTAGCCGTGATTCCAGTCCACCTCAATCAGGCCACAGGAATCCCCCCAGCATCTCACTGCAAGTTGAAACTCGCATCCTTACTCCTAGACAGTAAATGCACTTGGGGGTCAACGCACGCCTAAGTATACCTTAGGTGCGCAACAGGTCTATTACCCGTCAGAATTCCTAGGTGAAAAGAGGACGTAGGCGGACACCATGATCGGTCAAGCGCTGATGAAACATTCGTCTACAAATGAGATACACATGCTCAGACCCTAGGCTGACCCGAAGCTGACGGTGCCACAGAGACAAACCACTTGATCGCATACTCAGCAGCAGCCTCGGAGTTTTTCCTCCCACTCCCTCCCATGGCGGCTCACCTTTGAGGCAGGAAAGGAGCAGTTCAGGGGGAAGCCACGATCCTTACAAAGCAGCTCACCACTCATCAGCCAGTGACAGCTGTAATCTGCCGGCTGAGAACTACACTCAGACACCAGATTCTTCCACAAAGGCCTCCTCACCGGCTGTCCAATGCGTACAGCGTTGAGACCACTCAAAACCGCACAACAGGCCTGGCTGTATTCCTGACGGCGCCTCTCCACCACCTTGCGATCACTTCGTATTTTATCAAGAACACTAATAAAGAGTCCGCCTCACTCTGGATATCTACCAAGCTCCACACAGGGAGCACACCCTGCCGTTTAACTTTCTGCGCATACGCGCGTCTCCCCTCCCACCTTTCTGAGATGGGTCCGACCGGCCAACGGAGGAGAAACGCAGACACTCCCCAAAGTCCAAAGATGGCAAACCACCAAAAGGTCCCCGGTGCCAAATCCGACTTATCCAGGCCTCGGCTCCAGACGCGGTAAGACCCGCCATCTCCAAGGCCGGCGGGGAACCCTGGCTCGGGGAACGCGGGCGGGCAAACACCGGTGTAGACGGACCAGGCCGAGGTCGGCCGATGCTGGGCGACCCCCGTCAGCAGCTGGGGAGGGGGATGCACCCCGAAAACGGGGAAAGAAGCCGGCGGAGGGGCCACTCCCGGCCAGCACGCCCCCCGCTCCCGGCCCCGCGAGCATCCCGGACTAACCCGACCCCAGCCCGCCCGCCAGACCCGGCTCACCCCGCCTCGGCGGGCAGCGGCGCGCCCCGGACCCGGTCGGGCCAGCTGCTCGGCGGACGCCCGCGGACGCGCTGGGCTCACTCCTGGCAGCGCGCGGCGGGCCCGGGGCCGCTCGGCACCATCCTCCCCGCCGCCCCGGGGGCAGCGTCCGGCTCCGCGGGGCCGAAGCGAGTACCAGACGCCAACTGGGCTCCCGCCGCCGCCTCAGCTCTGGCTCCGGCGGCCGCGGTTTCCGGGTGAAAAAAAAAACACACACACACACACGCCACCTCCAACGCCGCTGTGACCTCCGACCCCGGGCGTGCGACGGCGGCGCGGCCGGGACAAGCTTCGTCAGAAGCAGGCGGTGGAAACACGTTTCCGGGCCGGGTCGCGTGCGTGGCGGACGTGCGTGGAGTGCGTGATGGAGGTTTGTGGGTCTGCGTGCGGGTTTGGTGCTCTGCGCGTGCGTGTGTGCGTGGTGCGTACGTGTGGCTCGTAGTCAGTGTGCGTCGTGTACAAAGGTGCGCGCGTGTGTGACGGGTGTGTGTGTGCAGCGTGGATGTGTAGGGAGTGTGCACACGTTAGTGCACACAGTGTGCTTACGTGTGCGCCGTGCGTGTGTCTGTTGATGTGCTGGAATATTAATCACTGCTGATAAACGTATGATTTGGGGCTGGGCGCGGTGGCTCACGCCTGTAATCCTAGCTCTTTGGGACGCCGAGGCAGGAGGATCGCTTGAGTCCTGGAGTTCGAGACCAGCCTGGGCAACATAGGGAGACTGTCTCTATTTACAAATAAAAACAAAATGAAGGCCGGGCTCGGTGGCTCACGCCTGTAATCCTAGCTCTTTGGGACGCCGAGGCAGGAGGATCGCTTGAGTCCTGGAGTTCGAGACCAGCCTGGGCAACATAGGGAGACTGTCTCTATTTACAAATAAAAACAAAATGAAGGCCGGGCTCGGTGGCTCACGCCTGTAATCCCAGCACTTTGGGAGGCCGAAGTGTACGGATCACGAGGTCCGGAGTTGGAGACCGGCCTGGCCAATATGGTAAAACCCCATTTCTACTAAAAATACAAAAATTAGCTGGGCGTGGTGGCGGGCGCCTCTAGTCCCAGCTACTTGGGAGGCTGAGGCAGAAGAATCGCTTGAACCCGGGAGGCGGAGGTTGCAGTGACCCGAGATCGGGCCACTGCGCTCCAGCCTGGGCGACAGAGAGAGATTCCCTCTCAAAAAAGTAAACTAAAAACAAAATGGAAAATGAAAAAAGAAGTATATTTTTGTAAAATCACTTTGCAAAATAATTTGCATTATGCAGTACACTTAAAGAAGTACACATCCTCTCGAGAATATATTATTCTGGAGAAACAGTTGCACTTATGCACCAGTAGACAAAATAATGCTCATAGCTGCACTGTTTATAGCAGCAGAATGGTTCCCTAAAAATTGAGGCGAAAAAGCAGATGTCCATACAGTCAAATGTAAAAATCAACTTTGATATATTTATGGTTTGGTTTGTTTTTCTACAGACAGCGTCTCCCCATGTTACCCAAGCTGGTCTTGAACTACTGGGCCCAAGTGAGCCTCCTGTCTTGACCTCCCAAAGTTCTGGGATTACAGTTGTGAGCCGCCATGCCGTGCCCATCTTCATTTTTAATCAGATACAAAAGACAAGTGAAAATTATTTAATACAGTTCACACAATTATGGTAGTCAATTTCAGAATATAATTTTAGCAGGGAGCAAATCACAAAATGGTACACTGCTACATATTCCCATTATATAATATTCAAAACAGGCAGGTTAATCAACATACTGTTTAGAGATGCATAGGTAATTGATTGAACAGGGGTAAAAGCCACATAAACTTCATGTTCAGTGTGAGGGGAATGTGATGGGCGGGGGCACATGGTGCTTTACAGGTAATGAAAGTTTTGTTGTTACTTTTTTTTTTTTTTTTTTTTTTTTTTTTTTTTTGAGACGGAGTTTCGCTCTTGTTACCCAGGCTGGAGTGCAATGGTGCGATCTCGGCTCACCGCAACCTCCGCCTCCTGGGTTCAGGCAATTCTCCTGCCTCAGCCTCCTGAGTAGCTGGGATTACAGGCACGCGCCACCATGCCCAGCTAATTTTTTGTATTTTTAGTAGAGACGGGGTTTCACCATGTTGACCAGGATGGTCTTGATCTCTTGACCTCGTGCTCCACCCGCCTCGGCCTCCCAAAGTGCTGGGATTACAGGCTTGAGCCACCGCGCCCGGCCTGTTGTTACTTTTGAGAGAAGGTCTTGCTCTGCCACCCAGGCTGGGGTGCAGTCTCACTGCAGCCTCAACCTCTCAGGCTGAAGTGATCCTCCTGTCTCAGCCTCCCGAGTAACTGGGACCACAGGTGTGCACCACCATGCCCAGCTAATTTTCGTATTTCTTGTAGAAATGGGGAAACCCCCATTTGCCCAGGCTGGTCTCGAACTCCTGGGCTCAAGTGAACCACTCACTTCCACCTTCCAAAGTGTTGGGATTATAGGTGTAAACCAGCGCACCTGGCCAACGGGACCCATTTTAACAAGGGTTTATCAGGTGATGCCTGCAATGGTCAACACAATGGCTCAGTTCCTTCACTGAATACCCTCTTATTTCCATGGTTCTTGCCCTCATTTGTCATCTTGCACCATTTGAATTACCTTCCTTGTTGTAATGGGTGTCACATAATCTGCAAGTGCAGGCAGTATTGAATTGTGTGTATATAACGATGGAACCAAACTCCCTAGTGAGATGTCCCTTACCCAGGCTATGACTGATAATGTAATTAAAGGAGCCCCACCGCCAGTGGCACCATATATGACCTAGTGATTGAGACTGTAGGAGAATGTAAAAAAGGCAACCTCAAATCTTTTATCCTAGCTACCTTGTATGGGATTTCAATAAAATTTTTGTTTTTGTTTTGAGATGGAGCCTTGCCCTGTTGCCCAGGCTGGAGTGCAGTGACATGATCTCAGCTCAGTGCAACCTCCACCTCCCTGGTTCAAGCAATTCTTCTGCCTAAGCCTCCCAAATAGCTGAGATTACAGGCACATGCCACCACGCCCCGCTAATTTTTGCATTTTTAGTAGAGACTGTTTTTCTGTGTTGGTCAGGCTGGTCATGAACTCCTGGCCTCAACTGATCCACGCACCTTGGCCTCCCAAAGTGTTGGGATTACAGGTGTGAGCTACTCAGTCTAGCCAAGATTTAAAAAACCCTTTTTAATGGGGACAAGGTCTAATTGTGTTGCCCAGGCTGGTTTTGAGCTTCTGGCCTCAAGCAATCCTCCTGACTCAGCTTCCCAAAGTGTTGGGATTACAGGTGTGAGCTAGCACGTCCAGATGGATTGTAAAAAAAAAAATTTTTTTTTTTTAAAAAGAGAAATTAGATGGTGCAGCCATTTTTAGGAAACAATCTGGCAGTGTCTCAAAAAGTTAAACATAGAGTTACCATTTGAAGCCAGGCGTGGTGGCTCGTGCCTATAATCCCAACACTTTGGGAGGCTGAGATGGGAGAATTGCTTGAGCCCAGGAATTCAAGACCAACCTGGCCAACATGGTAAAACCCTGTCTCTACTAAAAAAAACACAGAAAAATTAGCCGGGCATGGTGGCAGGCACCTATAATCCCAGCACTTTGGGAAGCTGAGTCAGGAGGATTGCTTGAACCCAGGAGGCAGAGGTTGCAGTGAGCTGAGATCACACCACTGCTCTCCAGCCTTGGCAACAGAGTGAGACTCCATCTCAAAACAAACAAAAACAAAAAACCAGCCTGGAAAACAGCAAGACCCTGTCTCAGATAAGCAAATAAGTTCTAAGACATATGGCTTTATTTAAAAAACAAAGTTACTAGCCGAGTGTGGTGGCTCACGCCTGTAACCCAGCACTTTGGGAGGCTGAGGCGGGCGGATCACTTGAGGTCAGGAGTTTTAGACCAGCCTTCCCAACATGGCGAAATCCTGTTTCTGCTAAAAATACAAAAAATTTGCCAGGTGTGGTGGCAGATGCCTGCAATCCTAGCTACTTGGGGGTGCTGAGATGGGAGAATGGCTTGAGCCCAGGAAGCAGAGGTTGCAGTGAGCCGAGATCACACCATTTCACTTCAGCCTGGTCGACAGAGCCAGACCTTGTCGCAAAAAAAAAAAAAAAAAAAAAAAGTTATCATATGACCTCACAATTCCACTTCTGGAGACCCAAGATAATTGCAAACAAAAATTCCAAATAAACGGTTGTATAGGAGTGTTCATAGCAGCATCATAATAGCCAAAAAGTGGAAGCAACTCAAATGTTCATCAGCTGATTAATGGATAAACAAAATGTGGCAAATCCACACAGCAGAATGGTAGTCAGCTGTGAAAAGGAATGAAGAACCTATGCAAACTACAGCACATATGAATTTTGAACATATTATGTCAAGTGAAAGAAGCCAGTCACGGCCAATATGGTGAAACCCCATCTCTAGTAAAACTACAAAAG